AGGGTAGTGAGGACTTCAAGTATATTGTTTTGTGCATGCCTCCCCATTAGGGGTTGTCTCCTTGTAAATATTGTATCCATGGTTGCCAAATGGACATATAGCTATGGTATTGACCCATGGAGTTCCATCTAAGCTGTTCATTTACATGGAACCAGTAGAGTTTCAGATACCAGATAAGTATAGTAGGTGTTTTTTCAGGAACCTGCCATAACTGATTTAGCTGCTGTCAGCATGAAATAAAGGCAGGAGTGCTTGAATTTCGTTGGGGGAGTTTTTATAAGAAGAAAAAGCAGGGTCTCTGGATTATGTAGAAGATTGTACTGTGTGACCTTTTTATGGTATCCCTTCCATATTTCCAGTAACCAATAATACCGGTGCAAGACCACCACAGGTGTTGGTAGGTACTCTTTTTCCCCACATTTCCAGCACACTGTCGGAGTCTGTGGGCAGAACTGGTGTTTAATGTGATATTTTATGCTTCAATATACTGAAAGTGGTTTAGTCAGTGTGAGAACATCTGGAGGATGCCACAATTCTGAGGGAGGCATGCTGCAAGTCTCCCATTGATTACCTGTTTATTGCACGAAAAACATAAATGAAAACATTTTACTTGACTAGTCACTTCTTACATAACTGATACAATTTGCTAAATGCTAATGTGCTCTTATAACCCGAAAGATATATTAAAGCACTAATGTACAATTCCAAAATAAAACAACATGTTTTCTCCAAGATTTCATTTTATCTATATATGGTCATCGAGCATATTATCCCTTCCCACGCACAGCTTGGCTATGGCATTGTGAGGTCACTGGGAAGGCAATGACATCACAAACGTTACAGAGCATCATACAGAGATGTAAGTAGAAGCTTGATGATACGATACACAAGCAGGGTTATTCAATAAAGGAAGAATTGGCAGGAATTCAAAGTGAATTTCTAAATGTAAGCTAAAATTGACAAATTTGAAAAATCCTTCAAGTCAGTTCTTTTGTTAGTTTGGCTATCTTGATCATACATTTGAGATTCACTTTGAACTCACATTGAATCACTATCAATTCTTGCTTCAATGAATGACTGTGCAGGCGTTTGTTCTTTTAAACGAGAAAATTATACCTAAATACCAAAATCTTCTCCTTAGACCTATATATTAGTAAGCCCTGTGACCCAGCACTTACTGCATCTGATGTCGTCTTTGACGTATAGATACAGGAGATGCTATTCGCTGTATTCACTGTATACATGACAATATACAATTGTAAGAAACAAATGTGTTGATGAGATGCACTGGTTATGTTGACATGTAATGCAGTAGTTTGCTCAGTAGCTAAAACCCTACTAAAATATATGCTAATAATAAACATAGAAACATAGAATGTGACGGCAGATAAGAACCATTCAGCCCATCTAGTCTACCCAATTTTCTAAATACTTTCATTAGTCCCTAGCCTTATCTTATAGTTAGGATAGCCTTATGCCTATCCCACTCATGCTTAAACTCCTTTACTGTGTTAACCTCTACCACTTGAGCTGGAAGGCTATTCCATGCATCCACTACCCTCTCAGTAAAGTAATACTTCCTGATATTATTTTTAAACCATTGTCCCTCTAATTTAAGACTATGTCCTCTTGTTGTGGTAGTTTTTCTTCTTTTAAATATAGTCTCCTCCTTTACTGGAAATGCATATGCATATAGCTAAAACACTACTGATATAAATACGTAAAATACAAATTTATGACCGTGTTTTTTTTAACTCCTGAAAATTGCAGAATAGCATTGAAATGTTAAAAGTATAAAACTTTATGCTAATATACCATCTCTTCTCTATAATCGCTATATCATTTCCCAAATTTCGTATGGAAGGGAAACGAAAAATGTAACTGTATTTATGATGGATGTTCTTTTGTTCTAAGGAAATATGAGTTTTTTGCCAATGTTTAATAATATATCCAGAGGGTGGAATGAATCTCTGCCACCTTAAATATAGGTCACACAAAGCAATAAGTTTAGATTGAGTTCTGTGGATTGCCATAAGGGAGTCCTTTAATTATTACTAAACATTTTTTTGTTCTCAGTTCAATAAACTTTATTTTATTCTGATTGGGCAGCAAAAGGAAGAAGAATAAAAATTTGCACTGACTTTTTGGATCTTCTCCTGAATGGACACATTTTTCTGGCTTTGTATCGAGTTGCAGCTGGTGACGGTATAAAATGGTGGGGGTCCAGACTCCAACCACAAAATTTGACTCCAATCACTGTCTCTGAAAACCCCACCTTCTGATATATTGGACTCATAAATTATTTTAAAAACTGTCAACAATAATAGTAATAAGAATAAATAAATAACACCTACTTCATTTTATTTGTTTAACCCTTTGAATGCAGGAGATCTGACCAGCACATTGCAAAGAAATATGATTGGCATGCCCTGGCGTTGAAACGGTTAAAACATATAATTATGCATTACTTAGAATGTAAGAAATTGCTTTGGCTAATAAGTTACATTATACCTGCTCTGACACAGTGTGTTTGGTCTGTGGGAAGCATTGCTGGGGTTTGTGGAATACAATTTTATCATAAATACACAGAGTTGACATTGGTTGGATATTGAATATTGTTAATGTATGCACATTACATACTTTGCAAGTAATGGTTTTTAATGATATTTAAGATTTTTGAACAATTAGAAACTGGGCATACAGTTTAGATGCCTTGCTAGGGATTAAAAGGGGCACTTCAAAAAACATCTCTAGGGGCATACTAAGCTTGTCTGAGGTGGTCTCTGATTGGCCAGATTTCAAAAGTGACCCAAATTATACACATGCCCAGTTGTCCTCAACAGGTTATCCAGTCAGCCATCATTTATAATCAATGAGTTAGCTGTGCTATAGTGGAAGGAGGGGAGGAAAACTATAGCACTGCAGTGCTGTGTGGTATATGTTTAATGGATATTTGCAAGTTAACCCTTTCCTAAAGAGAAACAGGTCAGTAATTCACTCGTTTACCAGTGGCAATATCTTTGTTTCTTTAGGACAACATTTATCAGTGGGGTGCTTTCCTAAGTGCCCCTATGAATGAGCCTCCACTGTTTGCATGTAACATGCACAATCTCAGTCGAAACAATCATATAATAAGTCAGCTGTTCATCAAAGTTGGAGGTGAACCCTGACAAAGAACAATTACACCCCTACTAGAGGGGGACACTATAATTTATAGTTTCAATTAATTTTTAGAAGCTCTCTAATTAAAAACATCTATTAGTTGCATTGGCAATCATAATGGTGTGCATAAGCATAAATGTAAAAATACTATTAAAAACAAGTGAAGGCTGTAAGGATAATGACGTTCTATTGGTTATCAGTCGGACAGCCACTAGAGGCATGTATTTTGCCAAATGTGTGCATTGCCTTTTCTCAGAAACAGCATTGTTTTCCATTCTTCGTGAAAGCAGACAGTGCCAATAAACCAAAACATCTACAATAAAATAGCTCTGGTGCTTAGACTTAAAGGACCACTATAGTCACCCAGACAACTTCAGCTCAATGCAAGGTCCCCCAGGTTTTAACCCTGCAGCTGTAAACATATGTTTACATTGCAGGGTTAATCCAGCCTCTAGTGGCTGTCTTCCTGACAGCCACTAGCGGCACTTCGGCGACGCTCAATGCGAAAATCGCATTGAGCACGCAGAACGTCCATAGGAAAGCATTAAGCAATGTTTTCCTATGGGTCGTTTGAATGTGCGCGTGGCTCTGGCCGCGCATGCGCTTTCGGCTCCACTCGGGAGCAGACGTCGGAGAGGGAGGAGAGGTCACCAGCACCGAGGGAGCCCGGCGCTGGATAAAGGCAAGTGGCTGAGAGGGTTTTAACCTCTTTAGCCCAGCGGGAGGGGGGCCTTGAGGGTTGAGGGGACCGAAGGACTATACAATGCCAGGAAAGCGATTTGTTTTCCTGGCACTATGTTGATCCTTTTAAAGAAGGTAATTTGGAAAGTAACCTATTGTCACCAAGTCACACAACCTACGGCTTCTGTATTAGTGCTTGTTTTCTTAAACATTGTTATGTAAATCCCATCCAAAAGGTAAAGAGAATTTCAACCAATTAATTTGCATGTAAAAAGTAATGCAAACAAGCTGATAAGCAGAAACAAGATATTTTCCTAGGTACTCATAAATATTGACTCATATAGACAAACATTACATAAATACTGCAACAAATGTGTGGGAAATGTATTCCAGATATGCTGACATACTTTTGAATCATTGTACTATTGCTACATACAGTCTGTGTAGGTCATTGGGTCAGAAAATCTACCATATCTGACATCACTATAGTTCTTTAATATGATTATAAGGAACACCGTTGTCACCAAAACAAACTTAGCTTAATAAGGCAGTTTTGGTGTACAGATCATGCCTCTGAAGTTTCACTGCTCAATTCACTGCCATTTAGTAGTTAAGTCACCTTTGTTTCTGTTTATGCAGCCGTAGCCACACCTCCCCTGGTTGTGACTGACACAGCATGCATAAAAACAAAATGGTTTTATTTTCAACCAGATGTAACTTTAAACATTTTTTATCTCCGGCACTGTAAATTGAACTTTAATCGCACACAGAAGTCTCCTACAGGTTCTAGAAAGCTATTAACACTGCAGGATATTATAAATTCTGAATTAAACAGAATTTGCAATAAAGGAAGTGTAAACATTAGATGGCTCTTGACAGAAAGTGTTTAGGAAGACTATGTAAGTCACATGCAGGGAGGTGTGCCTGTGGACATACTCACAGCGAAGGAGGCGGACAATCCTCTGCCCAGGTCTGGAACTCATCTATTTCTGAGCCGTGTCCCCACCCGGACCGGCGAAGGTTACCAAGGTCCCCACTGGCATATACCCTGGGCATACTGTAAGCATTGTAACTTACAGCAACTCCTGAAGTTGGGGCCTACAATAAGCTGCATTGTAACCCACAGCGACTTAAGAGTTTGGGGCTTACTGCTTACGATGGCCTTCACGCAACAGCCCGCTACTCAGCAGACTGTCCCACAACCTTCCAAAAATGCTGACCTGTTTCTACAGGTCTTTAACAGACTATGTGCCCAACTCTGGGCAAAGCTGAGTGCTTGCGTTATCAACGTACCTCAAGGTAGAGATCCGATCTGCAGGCTGACGCACCGTGACAGGGTTTTAGCTATCGGGGAGATGGAGTCACAAGCGACTGCTACGGCCGAAGCTGGGTGGAGAAGCAGAGAAAGCGGGGGCCACAGCTGAGACAAGCTTGCAGCATGCCGTGTACTACAGTCCATCGCCTGTCAATTGCCTCCCATCCACCGGCATCGGCTGAGTAGTGCCATGAAATGACCGCAATTCCAGGACATGTCATAGTTACCAAAATGTGTGGCTATAACTCTCCAGGCCTGGACTTTATTCATACTATTTCTACTCTGCAGTTGGCACCCAATGGCACTATATTTAATTAGTTTATGTTTATAGGCAGACTGCCAGTACTGTACTCTAGCACTGCATATTTCTATATAGGTTATAATCAATTTTTTAAACATTTTTTATTTAAAATGTTCTTGTGCCCTACTTGATCATATGCAATGTTTAAATCATCTCATCCAGTGTTATTACCAGGGCCAGATTAAGAGCCCAGTGGGCCTGGTGCTGACAATTATGACGGGCCTAATTACAGAATCATATCGACCAAAAACAGTAAAACACTCCCAAGCGTCATGTATCTGATGGAGATGGGGCTGGAGAGAAAGAAAACAGCAGCTATAAGAAAACACATACCCTATGCTAATCTCCCTCTAATTTATGTTTTCATCTTTTAAGTAAATCCATTACCCCTAACAGCAGTGTCCAGTCAAGCAGGAAGTCAATGTGCGGGGTAAAAGGGTGTGCCACTGACACAAATCACGTAACCTGCCAAAAGGGGCGAACATGCCCAAAAAGAGGATATGTCTGCCCAAAGAATTAGAAGGCCAGCCTGGTATGAATGCATGTCAGGCTGCCTGCCAATCATGCAGCTGGCCAACTAAGGGCATACTATGCAGACAGCACCCTGAGCTTGGCATAAATGCATCTAATGATGCGCTCGCTCAACGCTTTCTAAGGACTGTCCCCTAGCACTCGCTGGTCCACTTGTCTCCTTACCTTCTTACTAGCAGGCAGAAGCTCCTGGTATATAGTCTGGGACAGAGAAAAGCTGGATGTAGTGAGTGTAAACGAATGGGAACATGCCACAGTGTTAGAGAGACCAAAGTCAGCATTACCTTAAAGGATCACTATAGGGTCAGGAACACAAACATGAATTCATGACCCTATAGTGTTAACACCACCATCTAGCCCCCCTGGGCCCCTCATGCCTCCATAAATATAGCATAATCTTACTGTATTCAAGCCTGAAGCTGTAACTCTGCATGCTGTTAGACTCAGAAAAACAAGCAGTCTGCTGACATCATTAGAAGTGATGGCCTAATCCAATCACAGTGCTTCCCCATAGGATTGGCTGAGAGGCAGATCAGGGGCAGAGCCAGCATGATTCAAACACAGCCCTGGCCAATCAGCATCTCCTCATAGAGATGAATTGAATCAATGAATCTCTATGAGGAAAGTTCAGTGTCTGCATGCAGAGGGAGGAGACACTGAATGTTTGGATGCATTTTAGGCAGCCATGACCCAGGAAGGATCTCTAACAGCCATCTAAGGAGTGGCCAGTGAAGTTATCACTAGGCTGTAATGTAAAGACTGCATTTTCTCTGAAAATACAGTGTTTACAGCAAAAAGCCTGACGGTAATGATTCTACTCACCAGAACAAATTCAATAAGCTGTAGTTCTTCTGGTGACTCGAGTGTCCCTTTAACTATATTCATTGTCAGTCAGTCCACACAAGTTTTGTTCCCATACATCCCTCTTAAGTTTCCATACTTAAGTAAGAGTATGTGAAAAGTAGTTAGGGTTGCCACCTTTCTTGGAAAAACATACCGGCCTTGCTAATTTGCATAATTAAATGGGTGACATCAAATGATGTAAATCACAAGGAGTGAAATAAGAGAAAATGCTGTAAATTCACCAAAAAACTACTTAGTTTGATTCTGCTGTATAGATGGATTCCTCCCAGTGCCCCATGTGTCAATTACTCCAGGTCTCAGTGTTCCTATGTATCAGTGTCTCAGTGCCCCATGTCTCCCATGTCTCAGTGTTCCTATGTATCAGTGTCTCAGTGCCCCATGTCTCCCAGTGTCCCCTAGTGTCGTGTCCCCAGGTCTCCCAGTGATCCTATGTATCACAGTGTCTCAATGCCCCATGTCTCCATGTATCCCAGGGTCCCCATGTCACTAGGAAGACAGGAAGACCTGGGGACACAGGGAGACCTAGGGACACAGAGACACCAGTGACACTGGGAGACTAGGGGACTCTGGCTGGGACGCATGGGGACACTGGGAAAATAGGGGACACTTGAAGACATGGGGACATAGACACCAGGGACACAGACACTAGATACACTGGCTGGGGGACATGGGGACATTGAGTTATGGGGCACTGGGAGACATGGGGACAAGGAGACACCAGGGCCACAGACACTAGGGACACTAGCTTGGAGACATGGGGACATTGAGACACTTGAGGCACTGGGAGACATGGGAACAGTGAGACACTGGCAGACTGGGGGCACTGGGAGACTAGGGGGCACTGAGACACCAGGGACACTGGCTGGGAGACATGGGGACACTGTGTCCCCATGTGTCTGTGTCATAATGTCTCCCAGTGTCCCTTAGTGTCTCAGTGTCAGCCATAATGTCTCCCAGTGTCCCTTAGTGTCTCAGTGTCTGCCATAATGTCTCACAGTGTCCCTTAGTGTTTCAGTGTCTGCCATAATGTCTCCCAATGTCCCTTAGTGTCTCAGTGTCTGCCATAATGTTTCCCAATGTCCCTTAGTGTCTCAGTGTCTGCCATAATGTCTCCCAGTGTCCCTTAGTGTCTCAGTGTCTGCCATAATGTCTCCCAGTGCCCCTTAGTGTCTCAGTGTCTGCCATAATGTCTCCCAATGTCCCTTAGTGTCTCAGTGCCTGTCATAATGTCTCCCAGTGCCCCTTAGTGTCCCCATGTCTCCTTGCAGCCTTTCCCCCATCCCTTACCCCTGAGCTGTAGGCTGTCTCTGCAGGGTGGGAGTTGCTGTCTGGACTCTCTGTAGCTGCACCCCTGCAGATCAGTGAGTATAGATAGGCAGGGAGGGATATGCTGGAATTTCCTAATCCGGCTCTGGTTATTACCTCTTGAACCTATCTCAAGTTCTAAGTTCCAGCAATTACTCTTCTCTCTCTGCTTTCATTTCACATTTACTATAAAAAGTGCAGTAATCTAAAAAAAAAAAAAAAAAAAAATGTATTTATAATTGGCAATAGTAGCCGCTACGATTGGTATTTTGGAAAAATTAGGTAAATACTAATAGTATTATTTTAATTATTTAATACACATTATAATTCTACATCACTACTCCATATGCCATATTCTTTTAGTTTAATATAGCACTCTTTTTATTTAGATAAAACAATACACATGCTAGAGTAACAGAGTTGGCACCGCATTAATCTGTCAACACACTGCAATCTATGATGCGATTGTGATTTCATTAGCAGAACAGAAATTTCCAAAACTTTGCCAACTGAATATTATGACATGTTCCAAGTTAATACTCAACGACGTGTGAATTCATTTTTCACTGTTAGAGGAATTTTTTTTTTTTTAAATAAATAAAAATGTTAAACCATGTCAACATTACAGTGATGGAGCCAACTGTCAAAGCTCTGAAGCAGAGCAAGCAACTTCTGGCACTTCTGCGGCACTGGGTCTCTGTCAAACTGTTGGCGCAGTCCACAGTAATTGGAGTGCCAGAGCGATGACTATCCCCGGTGATATTTAATGATTTCTGAATCTGTGTTCATGGCCAAACCTGTGTAAAATAGGGCTTTTAACAATTCTCCCTTTATAGGCAAATTACTGAGGAATTATCACCAATTATCGTGGTCAGATATGTGCAAAGATATTACATATACTTAAAGAGATACTCTAAACACCAAAACAACTTTAGTTTATTGAAGCAGTTTTTTTTTTAATAGATTATGCCCCTGCAGTTTTACTGCACACTTTTATGGCATTTAGGAGTTAAATCACTATGGGTATGCAGCCTTAGCCACACTTACCATGGCTGTGACTCACACAGCCTCCATGAAAAAAAAAGGTTACATTTCTACAGAACAGTGTATTTACTTTAGAAGGGTTTATCCCATGTTCTGTTAATTGAACTTTAATCTCACACAGGAGGCTGCAGTAGGTTGTAGCAGCAATTAACAGATCAGGAAACAAGACATTCTAACTTAAACACACTGTGCAATAAGAAAATGTAAATAATGCGGGCTCTTACTCAGTAACTGCGTAGGGAGGCTGTGTTAGTCACAGCCACTGGATGTGTCACTAGGAATACATGAAAAAAAAGGTGCTTTAACTCCTAGATTGCAGATAACTAAGCAAGTTGATTGCAGGGGCATGATCTATATACCAAAATCACTTAATTACACTAAAATTGTTTTGGTGCATAGTGTCCCATTAAAGGGCACTCATCAATTGAAAAGGGTAGCAAAATGACAGTATTTCATTGTGTTATCATGATCAATTATCAGGTGCAAAACTTCTTATGATTTTTCATTCATTGCAGCCACTTACCTGCCATGGGAATGGACATTCCGTTCGTGGCTAAACAAAGTTTATTTTGTGGCACAAAGATTTATGTATTGCAAGTCATGTTTCAATTTACAGGAAACAACTGAGAGGTGCACAATATGGGCAATTTTAAAGTGAAGCTTTTATTCCACCATCTGCAGTGAATCTAGCAACATTTCGACCTGTAAAGATCTTTGTCAAGTGTGTGTCTCATTTATCAATATAATTAGGACTAATGCCACATTTCAATATTTTGTCATGTTGAATTCATTGCTGCAACTCAATGTTGAGAGAAAAATGTGCAATTGTTGTTGGCACTTTCCAAATATGCTGTGATATTGTGCCACCTACTGTTCAAATACTACACTAGTTTCACCAATTATGACCAAGAACTGTGTAGCTTGAATCTATTAGATTTCTCCTTTTTAAAGAGGATGTCGTTTGAAGGTTATGACACAATCTAATAGCTAAGTATTGTGTTTATAGAGGAACAGTCGTTTCAAGGTTATGACACAATCTAATTTCTAAGTAAAAATAGCAACTG